TTTTTTTTTTTAATCTAAGAACTTGAGGAACTTTAATGGTACTACTTATTCTTTGCTGGTACTCAAGTTTAAAACCAGACATAGACTATTATATAATTATTTCACCATATAAGTGAGGATATCTGGCCCTCACAAGCATAGTTAAACAAGCACACACACACACACACACACACACACACACACACACACACACACACACACACACACACACACAATGAAAAACTGAAACCATTTAAAATTGTTTTTGTCAACTGAAATTAAGCTGAAGTAAAATAAAATGATAAACAAACAAAAACTTAAAACTAAAAATGTTGCTTTGGCAACTAACTGAAATAAAATAAAGTTGAAGTACTAAAACGGTTAAAACTGAAACTGAAATAAAAAACAAAACAAAACAATAAATTATAGCTGAAATAGAAATATTTTTGTAAAACAAAACACATAACAAAATTGTTAATAAATAAAATCAACTAAAATGAAAACTAAACTAAAAATGAAAAATAAAGCTAATTCAAAAGATTAATAAATGTGACCCTGGACCACGAAACCAGTCATAAGGGTCAATTTTTTGAAATTGAGATTTATACATCATCTGAAAGGTGAATAAATAAGCTTTCCATTGATGTATGGTTTGTTAGGACAATATGTGGCTGAGATACAACTATTTGAAAAGCTGGAAACTGAGGGTGCAAAAAAAATCAAAATATTGAGAAAATCACCTTTAAAGTTGCACTTAATACATATTACTAATCAAAAATTAAGTTTTGATATATTTACGGTAGGAAATTAACAAAATATCTTCATGGAACATGATCTTTACTTAATATCATAATGATTTTTGGCATAAAAGAAAAATCAATCATTTTGGCCCATTCAAAGTATTGTTGGCTATTGCTACAAATATACCCGTACTACTTATGACTGCTTTTGTGCTCCAGGGTCACAAATACTGTAATTTTATATAAATTATACTATAATACTAATTAGAAAAACCAGCATGGAAAAATTCTGAGTAACTACTACTCTTTTCACATAACATGCAAAGTTTTGTGTTTGTAAATTGCTGTAGCGAGTCTGTTCGATCAGTGCATGCATGTTAAAGTAGGCAGGTAGCCTACCTTTAATTTAGGGCTGGACACTGAGCTGCTCATGTTCCTTTTCACAAATAACTTATAGGTGGCAGAATCACGGTTCTCTAAGGCAAAACACCTCCAGGATGCCTTCAGCATGAGAATAGAAGAAACAGATCGACTCTGGAAAGTCTGACCATCCTCATGACTGACAAATAATAAGCAATAATTACACCTATAGGCAACAGTAAGGCATACCTGTATCAGACCTGCAGCTGCAGGAATTTGCCTGTTGAAATGTTTTTGTCTCTGTTTCTGCTGCACCTTCAGAGCAAAACCGGAGCCTAGGATTCCCTGTGGGGAAATACTATCATTCTTCTCATACACTGGCGTGCTGTGCAAGGAACAATTGTTCTGGCTATTAAATCTCTGTAACTTACAGCAGGGAGGGCAAAAAAGGAGATGGCGAAGACAGAGAAACATGATGCAATGGTCTTCCCTATCCACGTCTGAGGGACCTTGTCTCCGTAGCCAATAGTGGTTACTGTCACCTGAGCATATGTACAGAAAAGATATTGACATGCCACATACATTACTCAACATGATCCAGTTCATTGATGTATGCCTTCAGTTATCCATGTAATAGCCATTGTGTCAGTGAAAGGTATGGGTGGGGATCTACCTACCACACCCCACCACAGAGCATCAGCATAGCTGCTAAACTCTGTGAAACCTCTATCATCCACTGCATCCTTCTCTGCCAGGTACACGAAGTAGGAAGAGAAGATGAGCCCAAGGAATCCGATATAAAGAGTTGTGATCAGTTCCTAGAAAGAGGAAACACTGTTACACTCTGACTCTACAATGTTAAAAATAACAATTCTTCAATGATATTTTGCAGCTTTAGTGCTGGCTAGAGATTCAATTTGATTCCAATTTATTTGGGTGTGTTTCAGTTATAGTGTTCATTTTGCTAACACGTTCCTATTTCATTATAAAATCTTTGCTAATGCTGTAAATTACAGTATATAGGGTTATGTTTCATGCAGATTCATTCTGACTTATTTATTAAAAGTATCAGCTCAAGAGAGTCATTTGTTTCCAGATTCTGGCTTCACTTTTATGTTTTTATTCACTAAAAATCTACACTAAAACCAATTCACTAAAATGGCTAATTTGTCCATGATTTAGAATACACTCATTGTGTAGTAGCCCATATGTTTGTTTTTAGGCAGATCCTGCAAGGACAGCTCAATAGAAAGATGTTCATTGCCATTATTTAGTGGTACACTGTCTTTAATATATCACATTCATATCATTCAGACTGCAAACTTGCATTGACAGTAAAATATGCTTCCTTTTGGTTTATCGCTAAAGAGTCCCGCTGCTGTTGAGAAGTGGTGCAGGAAACACTGATACTGAATTTGGTACTTTATGAAAATATTAATTTAAACCATTAACAACAAGGCACATGTGACCTTCAACAGAATGCCGTTAACTTACATCTACAAGAGACAAACTCTTTACAAATATATTTTCAAGCAGCTACTGATAACTGACATAGAGTAAACAGGATTTTATGAATCAGTATTAGGACCGTTCAAATGAAGATCATTCAAATCAATATTTAACCCAGATTTAAGTGGCGATAATCTCCTGTTGGTTCTAATCTAATAAGAACTTTTCATTTTAAGAGCATAAAATGTAACTAATTCCTAAAACACTGGCATATTAATGGACAACTGATCAGGGTAATGGATCCTTTTTACAGACTGGGAATGCACATTTCCACAAGAATTAACACTGTGAACTGAATATAGTTTTTTTATATTATTATTATTATTTTTTTTTTTTTGTACATTTATAACACTATTCATGTTAAATGTAAAAAATACTCTGTGAGGGGATAATTCTGACCGTACTGCATGTCCCTGTATTCCTCTCTTTGAAAAACCATTGACAATTGGATTTTTTTCTTTTGCTGTTGAAGAAAATGAGCTTTGGTCTGCTGAGTACCTCTACAGAAATTCATCACATAAAATATTCTTAAAATTATACGTTCTATACTGACATCCATGGTTCCATGAAGAACCTTTCACATCATTCCATGAAAAACAAAACAAAACAAAATATATGCTTCACCTGCCGATGAATGAAGACTACCGATCCAAGCAGCCGCCAGGTTCCTCCCTGTCGATCCACATGCAGCATTCGCAGGATTTGAAGAAAGCGGACTCCTCTGTAAACAACATAATGCCATGGCTTTAAAACATGGCAAAAGAGTTACATCTAAGTCTCATTAATCCTGTGCCACAAGGGACAAGACCCTGGACTTGCTATTATAATAGTAAACTTACCTGACAGTAGAGGTGGCAAATACCTGACCTTTAGAGCCAAATGCCAATACAATAATGGAGGCCACCACCACAATCAGGTCTAGAACAAGAAAAACATGTGGACAGGTCGATAACAACAACCAGAATACACAACAGGTTATTTTGAAAATTAATTTACGTACTCACCAATAACAGAAATGGGCTTTCGGGCAAAGCGAAGCCTGCCCTGAATTCCCACATATTTACTCCGGCATCCAGCTGACCACAGACGTACCGCATACTCCACACCAAAGAACACTACCAACACTAATTCCTGCAGAATGAAAGAGACAGACACACTATGCTTACACAAAAGAGCACTAAATGCATATATTAGTGATATTATTCGCTCATGACGATGAGAAATGATTGTAACTGAGAATTAATGTGAGATTTACTAGAACATAACAATGTAAGTATTGAGAGCTAATTGATTCGACAGAGACATAATGTAAAACGCTGTGCTAAAATATAACTCTAAGTACAGGGAGGTCATTTATTTGAGCAATGAGACGTCTGCTTTGAGAATGGGTTTAACAATACAGCTTTATTATGTAGAAAATGTGAATGGCTGTCATTGTAGAGCTCTTTGGCGATCTAGATATTCCTCATGAGGAATAGTATTTTTTAAATATTTATAAGGTATGTTCAGAACAAAATCCTCCACTGTGTGCTGTGCACCTATTGCAACTCAATGCTGCAATCCCATGACTGAGCTATATAACGACAGCTCAATAGACAAAGAATCCATTGAATTAATCATATTTGTTGTTTGTATGGGATAAAAGATAATAGCTGAATAAATAATTTGGTCACGCATCATTTGGACCGTAGTTTGCAATTCATAAAGCATATAATACTAATATACATGGGATGCGTGTAACAGATGCGTATTAACACTGACACAGGGCTGTGTGAAAACACAGGTCGGCTGGTTCATGGTCATGGCCAACAACAGCAGTTGCCCTCAGCTCCTTCTTAAAGAAGAGAAAACAAAAGAAGGCTGAGAGTCTGCTGAGCGCAGGCCCTTTGAGAGCTGCGAGGAACCAGACATGTATGAGTTATGAGGCTGGCCGTGAAGCCCTCTGTCACATAAGCAGTCTGGAGAGCTGGATCCGGGTCTGAGAAGAGGCTAAGAAGGAGCTTGGTCAGCTGCCTAGGGACGGCTGCTGGCACAAAGCCGGAGAGTTCGCTTGCCTAGCCTGTCTAAAGCTCCTCCAAAAATGAAATGAAATTGCAGGCACAGCCCTAGCCTGTGGGAACAGACAGAACATGAGGTGTGAAACAACGCACAGTAGCAGAAAAGTGAGTTGAAGCAGCTGAGGTCACAGCAGAGGAGAGAGACTGCAAGCAACTCAACTGAAAGTAGGCCAACTCACTGTTTGTCAAGTCAAACGCAAGTTATATATTTTTCGGAGCATTTCAGAAAGTTACAATAATCATTTTCCACTCCTCATTATTCATTTATTTGATCAAATGATGATCTGTTTTAGCTAAAACTGCCGATAGCTAAAATTATAGCTCTTATGTTTTAAAGTTCTAATTTTTGAAATGTTTCAAAATAGCATAAAATATTCAGAATAGTCTTTTCTAACTCTCTAATTAGATGTCCGATTAGTAGTTCCCACTCCATGCTGCTGGTACTTGCTATCTAATTAAATCTAGGCTTGTGATCACACTGACCAGCTGGCATACGAAAGGTCTGGGTGGACGGCCAGTGGGCGACAGAGGCCATGGGATCAGTTTCGTGGGGGGGTGTAGGGTGAGAGGAAACAAGACCCCAGATGCAAGGGCCTCTCTCAGTTACCATGGCAATGAGACACCCTGGTGTAGGGTGAGAGGAAACAGGACCCCAGATGCAAGGGCCTCTCTCAGTTACCATGGCAATGAGATACCCCATCCAAAACGCAGCTGGAATGCGGTCGCCAGGGTGAGCAGAGGAAGGGTTCACTGTAATAACAGCAAGGGCCAGCTGACCCTTGTCCTCAATCTTATAAGATTACATTAAATATTAAAAATAGACTTACTATGAGCTCGTGACTTGGCATTGAGTGACTTCTGCTCTAGTCTTTCATGCTCTAGCCAAAGTAAACACTTGAAGTCTGATCATAAATAATACCCGGTGGCATTAACTAACCCTTCACACTCTTGAAAAGAAAGACACAAAGTAAATAAACTACTGGTGTGGCATTACGTAGACTTTAAAGGAATTAGTTTGGAATTAATGAGCTTTTATTGGGAGAGTTCAACCAAAAATGAAAAATTGTGTTATCATTTACTTACCCTCATGTCATTTCAGATCTGTATGACTTTATTTCGTCCACAGAACACAAAAGATTATATTCTGAAGAATGTGTGACAAAATAACTTTTATGTTCCTCAAAAGAACAGGTTTGTAACAACATGAGCGTGAATAAATGATGACACAATTTTCATTTTTGGGAGAAATATTTCACTTTAACTCCTCTGACTGAAAAGTCACACATTAAAATGTTGTTTGAGAAGATACACAGATTTATCTGTATTCTCTATAGTCCTTTACATACTCTCACACACAACAGAAAGGCATTTGCTACTGTGTGGGAGGTTAACTGACTGGATGCAGTGTCTTATCAGTGTAAACGAGATAAAGGTGATTTGTCCTAACACCTCAAACAACACCAGCATTAGAAATAAATATTTAAAAACTCCAGGGCTTAGCAAGTCCTTTCACTTCATAACAGTGAATATCACTTCAGGCAAATAATCACACCTCGTGCCTATTCTCTGCGGAACATCTTTTGGAAAGCTGAAATGCACTGGATAATGTTTAGATTCTATTAGATGCATGAATCACAAAAAGCCTAAAAACTCCTTTGACCCAGGGTTAAAACATTACCGCAAACTGCTCGAATACAGCAATAAATGCTCATTGCACATTCATGGTGGTTTCAAATAGGAAACATTTCATCATTATATAGGCTTTTGTTCATTTAAAGTTTTATTAGCCATTCATGGGGGGCCTCGGTTAACACGAGGCCCTCACTGACAAAGACAGAGACATCTGTGTTCTGTCCAATTAAGGGAGGGTTCTATCTGTAGCTGATAATTGCCTGGAAAAGGGGTTAGCACCTCATGGCAGGACTACTGTGCTCACAACACCTCGAGACAGAGCTTGATGATGTGTTATCACACTTAGCATATGGAGGAAGTTTGATGACAGCTATGACGCTTCATATGGGAAGCATGTGAGATCACAACCCTAGGGTGTGGGATTTCGCAAGGCGCGTGGTGTTGGGACAGTGTAGTGTCCTGCGTGACTTCCAGCATCTGTGTGTGGCGTAACGTCCTGTGTGAATATTGCCACCTACCGCTGTTACGTAGGTAATGATCAACCTCTGAGGCTTCACTCCAGAAGTGTGACACACACAATAGTCTTTTTTCCTCACAGAATAGGCTCAGTTAGTAAGTGTCCGTGGCATGTGTGTGGCTGTATATATAGTGCTAATGTGCAGTAGCTCTCCCTGCTCACGGTGAAACAATGTCAGGCTAATATGGATTAACAGGGCCTATCAAGACTATTAGTGGCTGACATTGGAAAAAGAGTTGAACAATTGATCTAAGTTAATGATTAATCTGCGCTTAGTAAGATTTGCCTGATAAGCTTTAGCTTCATTTACATAAGCACTTACTCAAAGAAAAAAAAAGGGGAATCTGGGGATCTAAAACATGATATCTGTTAAACCAGTAGGGTAAATGATGTGTTCTATTAATTTGTTCAAAAATATATTAAAAATGAAATACAGTGACTTCATAGATGAGGTGTATTTTTTTTTTATTTCTAAATTAACATTATCATTGTGGGACACTGTCCTGATATCATAATGAAGAAATGAAGAAGAAGAAGAAGAGCCTAATTACAAGAACGGTATTTCTTGTAAAATTTTATAATTATTTTATAGGGAAAAAATATTTCAACAAAACTGCTCCACTGCCTATTAATATACAAAATAATCTTTTGGTCACCATATGGTTCAACCTACAAGCATAAAAAAACATAAAACAGGAAATTATATAATAGAGAGGACCCTTGCAGAGCTGCATGACTGTGGGTCAAAGTCAACAAATCTATTAAAATATCAGATAATTTGACCTTCTATGTTGTGTGTTCTATGTATATGTGAATATATATGTATATATATATATATATATATATATATGTGTGTGTGTGTGTGTGTGTGTGTGTGTATATATATATATATTTTTTTTTTTTTTTTAACAAATCAACATGTACACTCATGTGTTTCACAATATGAATAAAAAGACTACATTTCAAAGAACTTGGAATATTTATTTTATTTTATTTTACTTTTTACTTTCTTAATCATGGATACTCTTATATGTCTGTGACCCATAAACATAGTATTGTAAAGAACTTTTGACCGTGGCTTAGTGAGCAGTTTGAACGTCATGAAAAGATGTAGAAAGGGACACGTCTGCTTTTGTTTGCCTCAACAGCTGTGAGACGCAATGTAGAGGGCCGTGCCTCATTAAAATAGGGTGTGAACTGGGTGGGGGTATAGGGATGACATGGTGGTTGGGTCTAAATGAAGGTTTCAGCCCTTAAAAAAGGGTTCTACTTCCTGTGAGAACACCCTTCTCCCTCAAGTTACTGTAGTATCCACCCGTGCTAAAAGTATGCTATTTTTGATAGTTACCCTTAACACACAATAGACAACACCTGTTGTAAGCTTGGTTAAGCTCAGAGCTGCTGTAGCCAGATAGCTAATCCAAAAGGGCCTTTTCTCCATCAAGCCCTAGATTGTGGATTTAACTTGTGATGCGAGGCATCAGCTAATGAACACAACGCATAGATTTAATCCCATTAGCCGGTGGTCGGATTGACCTCTGACATGCAGTCACTAGTTATAATCTCTATCCCTCCCTTTCTCCTTTTTCTGCCAGCCTAAGACAATTGTTTCTCTTTTGTCTCTGTTCTTCGACCTGTAAACAGGCAGCGTTAGTTTGCAAACAGGCATATTGCATGCTGGGGAATATTGACTAATCTAGACATATGGCATTGAGGCTCCGGACCTTTGACACAAAAGATAGCTATTGTTTTTGAATCTGGTATTGATTATGTTCATATTTAACAGCCTCTGTCGGGAGGAAATGCTTCGACGAGCACAATAATTACTTGACAGACTGTGATCTGAATATTGATCAAAACAAAGCCTCAGATGCGCTAACAAGGCCTGAAGCAATTAATGCTTAGCAGAAAGGGATGGATTGTTGAACAAAGTAAACAGTGAAATGATTTAAGAGTGCCAGCTCAAGCTGCCATTCTAGACAACAGAACACCGTCATCTTCTGTGAACTGAGCTGCTTCTCTGATATAGACTTTGCTGTGTCAGTTACAATGTTGAGAGTATTACCAGGCCTTAAATTCATCAAGGCAGTGGTTCTCAAAATGAAAAGTGTAAGATAAACGCCCACGTTCTCAAATTGTATTCACTTTTGCACATTTAAATATGCCTTGTACCCAATTTCATATTCCCTTTCTCCTTCTAATTGTGTTGACTGGCCAGTTTTGAAGGCAGACAAAAGAATTATTAGTAAATAACAACTTTTCCTCACAACATATGACTTCAGAAGACCTGGAATATAGGGCACAGATAGTTTATTATATTTTTAGCCTTTTGGAGCTTGACAATTACAATCTTCCCATCTATCGTTCTTGTGTTCCACAGATAAAAAAAAATAAAAAAATAAAAAAATAAGTAAATGATGACAGTTTACATTTTTGGGAGAATTGTCCCTTTAATGTTGCTCTTATTATAAATTACATGAGTGCTTCCTTTTCCTACATTAGATGGGGGCAAAAGTCGTTCTAGTTTCAAGAGGGGAGTAACCAAAAATGTAAATCTACCGCATCAAATGACATGAAAAGTGATGAACTGCTGCCCTCTGTTGGACAAGGCCGATGGCAGCAGACATTCTGGAGAACAAGCTAAACAATGAGCTGCATGCAAATGTAAACATTATCAATACCATATTCTAAAACAATAGCTGCCTTTGGGTCCAAGGTCCAGATCCCAATGCCATATGTCCAGATTAGTTAATGATCCCTATGCATTATGCCTGTTTTCTATGCATGCTGCCTGTTTACAGTTCAAAACAGGGACATCAGTTATCCAAGGTCACCAGGTATTATATTTTATTAGGCAGCAAAATTATTTAGATTAATTTAACAATATTTAACACACTGTAAGTTTAAAGCATTGAGACTCACCACCCAGAAGAGTGTTTTATTAGCCAGTGTTTGATACTCATCAATGGTGGACAGCACACTGAGGATCAGGCAAAAAAGCACAATAAGGAATCTGTAGAGAGAAAGTAAGATGTCATTTTATAATTTATAATAATAATAATAATAAAACATTTCAGATTTTTCAGAGGACATTCAAAAGTAAACATTACATATAATGTTTGCAAAATGATAAATGGAATGTTCCCATAACTCCCAAATTTGTTGTTTTAAACATTTGAAAAATAACATTTTGACATTTTGAATGTTCAGAGAAATCATCAAACACATTTTTGTTTGCTGAAATCAGCCTGAACATATCCGTTTAGGACATGTATATTTTCTCATATTCACTGACTAAATGACTCTATTCTAAGAAATCAGATTTTTTTTTTGAGAGAGAAAAAACAATATTGCATGTGTTGTAAAGGGTACAGATTGATTTCTAAGCCCCTGTAACAGTACTGTAGGTTTAACACATCATGGCAAGGTCATCGTGTGCTCTCAGTCTAAACCAAACAAAGGCTTTGTTGTAACTCCTGAGACAAGTGAGAAAAGAGAGTTTGCTCACAGACAGCTATGTGATTAATCTGACAGAACAAATTCTACAAACAACATGATTTCTCATGTGCTTTAAACGTAATAAGTAATCAGTCTAACAGCATATGAAGGAGAGCTCAAAACAGCTTTTTGGTATATAAAGATGTTATTGATTAATTAGGAACAAATGTAATCTTGTAATTAAAAATGTATGTTAATCTAATCTAATAACCTAATCTAATACACAGCAACAGCACAATATCCAGTACATGCTTTGTTAATTTGTAAATGCTATTTCTCAGTGTTTGTTTTTTGGAGTGATGCTTAACCCATTACAACAGCTCTATCAGCTCAATAATTAATCAGTGTGACTGCATTAACAATAAAAATGAAACACCAAGGGGTATGAAACCCAGCTGCCACAGACAAACAGTGCCCAGCTGTTGCCTGTCATCACAAATTCAGAGGGAGGGGCCAGAAATGTAAGTAAACATACAATCATAACCTTGGGGTAAGATGGCTGCCTGACAAATATCTATCTGATTATGTAATCATTATTGCTGAATGACCTTGAACCTGCCGCATGCAGTCTGTGAGAGAAGTTACATGTCAATAAACATGCCACAGGCTACAGTGCAATGCAACGAATAATTGATCTACCAATCCAAGGCAGGGATGATAAACACAGCAAACGATTGTGTTGCTTACAGCAATTAGAGGTAAAATCAATAGAAAAGAATCAGAGTAATGAGAAATAGTATTTTGACGAGTGGAGCTAAACAGAATCAAATATGCAGCAGGCTATTTTAACAATTCATACCTGCAGAAGCCACTGAATTTGTAGTATTTAACCGAGTGAAGAGGAAAGAGAAGAGGAAAGACTGGGGAAACAATGCAACAGACAGAATCAATCGATGTGTATGCAAACTGCGCTAAAGACTGCCACTCTCAAATCAAGCTGTTCAACCACAGTCGCTGCTGAATCAAATGAACCAAAACTGGGTACATCCTTGTCTGTAAACTAGTATTTATCAAATCTATCAAATTCAGAATGCCTTTTAAATTCCAATTCAATTACAACTGAATTTGAATTGAGGTAGAAATTTGATTCTTCAATGAAGAAATTCATATAATAATTTTTAACCAGAAAAGTCAAATTTGCCAATACAAAATTTGAATTTTGCCTTAAATCCTTGTTTGAAAGTTCTGAAATACTTTTATAATACTATAATATAAATACTTGTAATACTTTTGAAATAAAACCTTGAAGTTTGATGGTTTGAAATATCTAGATTCACAGAGACAGGCAAGCAAGCAGATGGTAGATAGACAGATAGATTCCCACACACACAGACAGACAGACAGACAGACAGACATAGATAGATAGATAGATAGATAGATAGATAGATAGACAGACAGACAGACAGACAGACATAGATAGATAGATAGATAGATAGATAGATAGATAGACAGACAGACAGACAGACAGACATAGATAGATAGATAGATAGATAGATAGATAGATAGACAGACAGACAGACAGACAGACAGATAGACAGATAGACAGATAGATAGATAGATAGATAGATAGATAGATAGATAGAAAATGACATTCTTGAAATATCACTCACGTGAACATGACATGGACCTGAAGTCTATAGTGTGATTAAATCAGTTGTTTCTACCTTTCTTCTACATTTCTCTGTTGTGCTTAGTAAAGACTGCATGACATCGAGGGACATTTCACTCACATATACTGCTGGGCAGATAACAATAATAATGTACGGCACGCAATTACTAGTTTTTCCAACAGCATGTGCACATGTACACAAACAAGGTTCACGCTTTGATAAGTTCCCCCATGGCTTTGCAGGCTTTGAAGCAGTGATAAGCTTGTGCACATTCTTGGCTAACATAGCCTGCCGCCTACACTCACAAGAAGAACGCTTCCGTATTCAGGCGAGACTCTTCAATTTCCTGCTGCAGCTAACAGTGTGGTCAAGTGCTCGACTACAGCTCAAGGCCCTGGGCTAGTAATGCAACAGGTGGGGATGAATTATGCACTGAGGAGCCCAGAGAGCCCAGTTGTGCCCTTAAGCGATGCAATTAACCTCAATTAGCTCTATAGGGACCATCACAATATTAGTATGCCATAAATCACTTTGAATAAAACGCATGTGCTACATGACAAGCCACCAGTTAATTAAAGACTAACCTCCAACCCTCGGCCTCATGCTCATCATTCTTACAAATGCATTAAACCAAGTATCAGTCAAACGATCCACGATTAGTGAAGCCGTTAACACCGTTTCTGCAGGACGATGCCGCATCTGACACCCTCACAGTCAGTTTCCCATGTTCTCCTGGCATCTCTGCCCAACACCACTGAGTCACAGGGTTACCAAACACACAGGGCCCCTGCTGAACGGAGTCACCTCTGCAGCCAAGTTTAGCCGCCCGCTATCACCTCCTCTCCTGCTAGAGATACCATGAAAGGTCCAATGAGTCCAGTCATTTTGAGAATTACAAAACAACTACATTCTGCTGCAAAGCATCCTTTTAGGTTATTCGTTACACTGTAAAGATGATCTTAGATCAAGTACTAGACACTGTCAGCGATTGCAATATTTTTTGTTTACTTACTATTCCAAAATTCTTGCAATTTACAGAATATCAAATAATGCATCTCAAAGCAGCTTCTATATTACAGTATAATCTTTTTTTTTTTTTTCACTTTCTGCTTTAACTTTTTTAGTAAGTGTAGTGAAGATAAAAACGCAAGGCTTAGCAATAGGATTGGGATAAGGACATAACAGCTTTTTTATGCTTTTTCTGTGCACAGGCTACTTCACCACAATTCTTTCTGCATTTTCTGACTTTTTAAAATCAAACCAACAAGCATTGTAGGTTAGTTGGATTGATGCATGTTTTGAGTTTAAAGGGGTCATATGATGTTGCTAAAAAGAACATTATTTTGTGTATTTGGTGTAATGAAATGTGTTTATGTGGGCGTGTCCCGGCCGAAGCGACGAGACAAAAACCTTAAAACCCATTATAAACGAAGCACTTGTTGCATCCAGTGGGGACATAATTACGGATTATAATGACTTATACTGTCTTTTTACGCGTTGCATCTGAAATCGCATCATATGACCCCTTTAATTAAAATGGTTTATTTCCATTTTATTTCAATTTTTCCAGTGTATCACTTAATACAACATTTGTTTAATATTTAAAACCTTCGCAGAAAAAAATCATCAGTGAGTTCTATGTCGTAATAATAGGCTAAATTGCATAAATTGCAATAAATAAATAAATTATTAATTGTTTTGGAAGATTTAATTTCTGTATGCTGAAAGGCTGCACTAAAGGGAAAATTATTTTATGCAGAATGAAAAGTGACCTTGAACAATCATCTTGCATAACACTGTACTCTTATCAAACATTAATAAAAGCAGTGCCTCTTGCAACAATAAACCATTTAAAAAAAAAATATATATATATATATTTCTGAATAGGTAAACATGTTGATGTTGTAGACTATTTCTCATTATTTAAATAAAAAAAAAATATATATATTTCTGAATAGGTAAACATGTTGATGTTGTAGACTATTTCTCATTATTTAAATAAAAAAAAAATATATATATTTCTGAATAGGTAAACATGTTGATGTTGTAGACTATTTCTCATTATTTAAATAAAAAAAAAATATATATATTTCTGAATAGGTAAACATGTTGATGTTGTAGACTATTTCTCATTATTTAAAGCAATCAGAGTTAAATACTCACACTGTAAAATGATACACAAAGCATTTCCAACCCGATGGTCTCTCCAAAAAATTATATACACGTCCTTGAAAGTAGGATCTAGAGAGAGTGGGTCGGGTGGCGCTGTACACGGACATGCGGGGATGGAGGTGAGATGCCTGGCGTTGAGTGATCACTGCCGGCTCCGCGGACGCCGAGGGACTCTCGCCGAACCACACGCTGTCATTTCGCATGTGCAGAGCTTCGCTCATCTCCAGTTCTGCAGGTCCAATAGTCCATGAAGGCTCTGTCGCTGTACTGTGAGGTGGAGAGGTCATGCTGCTACTGAGAAGAGACTTTCACGAAGTGCAGCTGGCAGGACAGCAGGCAGGCAGCATAACGGCATCAGCAGCAGCACTTGACTGTGTCTGCATGAAACTACATGCATAAATACTCATAACTCAACAGTGAGGGACGTACCAGGAAGCACATAGCCACAAGCCATTGCCAACAAAGGTAAATCATGGATTTTTGTTTCAAATAAATAAATAAATATATAAATATATAAACATATTCATTTTTAGTAAATAGTAAAATTTTTAAACAAAACCAATAGCAAACATAATATTCCAAAGTACAGTTGAGGTCAAAAGTTTACACCCCCCTTCAGAATCTGCAAAATAAGAGGGATCATACAAAATGCATGTTATTGTTTATTTAATACTGACCTGAATAAGATATTTCACATAAAAAGATGTCTACATAAGATAAAATAATAGTTGAATTTATTGAGAATTTATTAAGAATTGATTCTTAATACTGTGTTCTTACCTGAATGATCCACAGCTGTGTTTTTTTATTTAATGATAGTTGTTCATGAATCCCTTGTTTACCCTGTACAGTTAAACTACCTGCTGTTCTTCAGAAAAATCCTTCAGGTCCCACAAATTATTTTGTTTTCCAGCATGTTTGTGTATTTGAAACCTTTCCAACAATGACTGTATGATTTTGAGATCTTTTCACACTGAGGAGTTGCAACTGAGAGACTCATATGCAACTATTACAGAAGGTTCAAATGCTCACTGATGCTCCAGAAGGAATAAAGATGCATTAAGAGGGGGTGAACACTTTTGAGATCCATCTTTTCACACTGAGGACAACTGAGGGACTCATATGCAACTATTACCATGCAGATTGAGAATGATGCCACACACCAGCATGAGCCAAAAAATGTTTAATGGATTTATGTACAATGTGATGGAGAAAGACATGGACAAAAAGTATAAAACAAAAGATTGACGAATTTGGTGTGAAATCACAGCAGGTAGTAGCAGACTTCATGCATCAATGCAGCTGTCAGTATAAAGTCAAAATTTATATTGGAATAAATGAGAGCTACTGAACATAAACTAAAAATAAACCTTAAACCCTAAGTTTAAGGCTATTTGTCTAAAGAAATAAAACTGTTAGGGAGTATTTGTGTTTGCAAAAAGGTGAAGGTGCAGTTTCATTCAACATGACCTTGAATCGGTGCCTCACCTTGAGAACTCAGGAAGGTATTGATTCACTGAGACGCAGGTTTCAAATACTGTCATGTGGCAGTGAAGTGATGACAGATACTGTTGTCAAGTAGATATTAAGATAGGCCAGAGTGAGATGTAGGTAGAGATCATCTGAACATAGTGTAGCTTATCCTCAAATACTTTCAGCACAGCAGACAATTGCTAGACTTGCTAAGGTCAGATAAATTTATGATTTAGTTTCAGTTGATGACAGAGGAATCTCTGGTGCTTTTTCAGAGTTACCAAAGAATGACTGGAGAATCATCTGTATTGGTGTTTCTTGTTGTGCCATGAAAAAAGAGAGAAAACTTGTCTGAGAAACATACCTTTTGTGTAGGAGATATCTGAGTCCAGTTTTAGACTTGATAGACTCACTTTTTTTAGTCACCAAAGCCTGAGTCTTGCACCATACAGACTCTGATCTTTAGATGCATTGTTTTTAAGGTTTACCTGGATGTATTAAAAGTTATGCAAGGATTGACTTTTGGCTTATTTAAGCACATTCATGTTTGCAGTTCCCCTAGAGTTACTAAATAAAGATCATTCTGAATATGGCATGAACTTGTTTATAAAAAAAAAAACAGCTGCAGTGTCTTACAATATACAGCAGAGAGCAGCATTTTCACTGACCTCTGCTCCCTCCCTTGTCAAAACAGCAAAACATTATCAGATCTTACAATTCATCTGATCTCCGACTATACTGGCTTGATAAAGCTCTGTTTGAGTTGACACCTAGCTGCTTAAAGTGAATAAATGATTAGAGTGGCATCACTGAAAACAGCATATGCCTTCATAGGCCTAAAAATCTAGCAAGAAACAAAGTAGATCCTAAATGCTATATTCCTTATGTAAAAATACAGCCTTCCTGAACATTTTTTTCCGTATGGAACAGGAAGAAATGAACATTAATAAAAGGGTTACTCACATATTGTATGCTCTTTATACCTACAGGCTCCTGATGGTTTTATTTCTGTAAAGAAAAAAATTAATTCACCTTGTGCTTTATTCTCAAAATGCTGCAAGAGTAACCTGTTACTGTTCATTTTTAGAAGTGCTTATATGACTTGCATTTGACAGCACTGTGAAAAATCAAGCCACATATAATGTTATTTGTCAAACTTGGTATGCTCCTTGCTGTGAAGAAATCGCGTCACGCACCTTGCCAGCACAGCCTTCTTCTTAGAAGTCCTTAGCACAAATGGTCTCAATGTCTCTCAGCAGCAGGAGCTTTTTCCCTGTTTTGTTACATTCTGAACTTTTTGTAGGAACTTTTCCTGACCTACTTTTTGACCCCAAGGACAGAACATCAGTAATCGTAGCTAGAATGGTGATGCAAGTCCCTTTGACTCCAACGCAGGCTGTAAGCTTTAATTAGACCCATCTGCTACTTGGATCCTCCACAGAGCCCTCTAATGGAGGTAAACAGAGGTATTGGATCTAAATGGCAGAATATGGATCTGTAATGATCCATTTTGCTTGAGACACAGGGAAGAATGACTATTTTTGTCTTTTATGTGGTTTGTTTCGATGTTTGGAGCAGATGCTAGTGCTACCTATGACTCCCTGCTGAAGAAAAGAGCTGGCTGGTGAAATGTCATGAACCCTTTCTTTATATGGTGGATTTAATGCAATGCTTTTGAGCACCAACTATACAATGAACTGTATCATAAAGCACCTATTGGGGTGCCTATTGATTGAGCCCTGCAGAGCTCAAATTCATTATAACTGGAGAGGCTTTTGATAACATTTTTTATGCATTGCCTAGAAAAGTGCTTCTCTCAAACTCAGTAGACTCTGTCGATTCTCAGAAACATGAAATTAACCATTGCCAACCCTCAAGCGCAGTTACCTCGCTTCACTCCATCACACCCTGAGGGATTAAACCCCTCGCTTTGCAAGACTTTGTAAGCGTGGGTGTGTGTGGATGTTCTGCGGGAGTCTAAGGTAAAGCGGGGCTGCGTTGAGCTCCTGCTCAGTGAAGTGAGAAGAAGAAAAAAATCACTGGATATTTTTATCCACAGTGCTGGATTTAAACAACTGGAATGGGCTGGAAGTGAATGTTGAGTGTCTTCATGAGATAAAGAGGTTTTGTTATAACTGATGAATGCCCAAGAGTATCTTTGATCGAGCTGGTGGGTTACCAACAGATCTCCTGTCCTGGGAAGAACAAGTATATTTGCTTGGGAATTCAATGGTGTCTGCCTTTTATGCCTAAAATCATTGATCTTCAATGCATTTCATGTCAAAGATGTCAGGGATGAAGTCCCTGGGGCGGTCCGTGAAGCTGTACAAAACCTTGAACAGGTACTGATTGAAAAGAGAGGATTCACTGCTGACATCAGGAATACTAATGTGGTTCAAGGTTTTTTACACCTGAGATGAATTGGAACAGAATAGCTCTTGAGCGCGCCCTTGCTTGTCTATCTCCTCGTGGAGTGTAAGTGCTTTCACCTCTCCTCACCTCTCAAATGTTGTCGAGGCAATATACATCCAGACTAATGGCTTATAAACGCTCTTTTACTGGCAAGTCACCGTGTTCGAAGAAAGTGTACATCAGGGAAAAAAAGCACAAAAGATGGTGACAAGTATGTGTCTGGAAAGAAGTTGCAGAGTGTCTCAGACCACTGCGAGAAATTCAATAAAAAAAAAAGTAATGCAAATGAGTACTTTTTCTGTGAATCCATTACAGACAGTGTTTAGTACCTCTAGCAGTAAAATGTTTTTAAAACGTTATAACATTTACCTAAAAAAAAGTAACACTTTAGAAGATGTTTTACTGACAGTAGTTAATGTAATACCTAATAGCATGAAATGATGAACAATAGTTTTAAACTTAAAGTCTTTGCACACTCAGTCCAAAATTATCGTCCAAAATTTTGGCACGTTAAAAATAAATACGACCTCATGTTGTGTCAATCATGTTTACACACTGCCTCTGAAAGTTTCGTCCATCATAAAAAAATTCGGATCAGGTTCGATTTTCTGTGTTTTCGCATCCATAGCAAGCATTTTGATAGGAAAGGATGATGAATACGAAAAAAAAAAAGAAATATTTCGGACTCAGTGTGCAAGGGCCTTAAATCTTAACAGTTGTACTAATCTTGATGAATGTAACGTTTAATATTAATATGTATATTAATTTGTCTCTATATATATAATCTGGATTAATATTAATTAAAATTAACAAATTAATATATAATAATGCATATTTTATATTTTATATTGTACAAATTAAGTTTTACATGTTTTATAAATAAATATGAATAATTGATATTAAAAATGAACAATACTATTATGAACAAATATGAATAATTAATATGAACAATGAACAATAGTGCATTTATAAATTAGCATTAATGTAGATTAATAAATTCAGTGAATATAAATTCATTGTACCCATTAACTAATCCCAACAAATTCAACCTTTTTGTAACTTAATTGTTTGTTCATTGTATGCATTAACTAATCCCAACAAATTTAGCCTTATTATACAGTGTTATCTTTAACTGTTCATATGAATAAATATACATCTAATGGGATTCATATTGCTCTAAACCGGCTGCACTTTTGGTGTGAGATATCACAGCATGTGTATTATTTGTGTTGCTATGCTTTGGTCCATTTTTAGGCTTGGTCTAAATGGTTTCCAGTATTTGGTTCCATTGATTTTTCTATCTCAAAGATACTATGTTTAGACTCACTGTAAAAGTATCTTCGGTTACTTTATGAGTAAGTGCTCCTTTGGTGGTGTTTCACACACACACACACACACACAC